GTGAGAGGCTTCGGGGGCGTTGACGTCGCCGAGGGCCAGGTTCTTGTCTTCTACGTTTTTGGAGTTGGCACGTGTAGTTCTCACCATTTTGGTAGAGGGCTAGTGTTTGGCGAAAGGGGGGGGGGGTTTCTTACTTGATCGTTCGACCTCTCAACGAGAGCACCAAATGATGGATAGTGTACCCGGGGGGTAGCTTATCCGAGGGGTTATTACGCGGAGTAATAAGAGAGAAGTCAGAGCAAGTAAATATAGAGAGAGAAAGTATATTATGAGTGTGGAGCGTTTTCAGCGTGTTATGACCTGGTTACAAATGGGGAAATGGGTGCTATTTATAGTAGCAATAAATGCCGGACAGGGACACGTGTCAAGCGCCCATTGGCCGAGAGGTCACCTCAACTGGTTGGCGCTGGCAGCCGCATGTGGCCGCATTTAATGCGGCTGTTGGATGGGACGTTGTACAGGGTACGGTGATCTGTACGCATGTGGCGCGGATATTATGTCGGGAGAGGTGCCCTCGGCTGCAGAGGACTGGCCGAGGGCTCTGAGTGCCGGGGACACCCTGGGTGCCGAGGGCTCCAGGTGCCGAGGGCTACTGTTTTTTGCCGTTTTTCTCCCAGTTTCTTAGTTTGCTTGAAAACTCATTCTGTGAGAGTTTTGAGCCTTCGGCCAGGGGGCCGAAGGCTCCCCAATGTGCGCTGTGGGCTGCTAACTGCTTGGGGCGCCGTAATTTGGGGCCTGCTGTGCTTCCTGGGCCGGTTGGGCCTTTATTGGTGTAGTAGGAGTCTGTGGGCCGGGGGTTCCCGGGCCATATACTCCATCAGTAGTGTTCTGTATCTATTATTTGTGGATGTTGTTTGAGAATTTCAGTTTGCAATTGCAGATTAATAGAACCAGGTGCAATATTGCTCTGTATATATTATTTGGGACTATTTTTGGCTTTTTCTCTAGTATAACCTTTATTAATGAACTCTTTAAATTGAAATCTTCTTAATATAAGCATATTTAGTTATTTTATATTATAAACTACACATTTAGAATGCAACACTGGTATACATCTACCTTTTATAAAAAAATTATTCCTCTATGGACATGAATACCTTTCAATATATGGTGTATTGTTTTATATTGTAGGTTGAAACACAGGATTATGAGGCGCAAAAGAATGCTGAAATAGAAAATGAAATGTGCTAGGAACGTGAGATTGAGAAAGTGAAAATGAATTTGGTTCTATCAAAGCTTGCTCATTCGAGACTTTGATCCAACACTTGAACTCTTGAAATATAGAGTTGAAGAAATGAAGTTACATGTCTTCCATCCATTTGGTTTCCGGCCAGTTAATTACAAGACTTTTAGAGGCCGTTTGGCAACCCTCATTTTCGGCTTATCAGGCTTATCAGCCAACTTTTTTACCAAACACGTAAACTTTGCTTTCGCGCGCTGAATTGTGTAATAAGCCGAAAAAGTAAGGTTGAAGTTACTTTTCTGGCTATATTGGCTGAAGTTACTGTAGATGATCATTTTAGCTATTTTTACATATAATTTTTTCTTTATTTTATTAATAAAATATATTTTAATTTTTTTTTTCTTGTATCAGCAGAATCAGTCAATGCAGCCACTTCAGCCAGAATTTCATAAATTTCAGCAGAATCAGCCAAAACAACCCATTTTCGTGCTACCAAACGGGCTCTTAGTTGCTATCTCTATGATTTTTTTCTTCTTCAAATTGGACAGTGTAACCTTTTCACTTTATGATACATTATTCGAGATGTGATAAGGATATTCTTTTTAGTATATGGATATTTCTTCATTCCAGATTATGATTATTTTAATACTTGGAATATGATTATTGTATATAAAATTTGTATTACGTACATGCATCTTGTTTTACATCTAATGTGTATGTGGCTCAAATTATCAAAATTTTGTTGTAAAATGGTTAATATAAGTGTTGCTGATAATTCTAGAGAAGTGTTGTCAATTTTGAATAAAATGTTGCCTAAAATATTCATTGAAGTGTTACGAAATATAATTAGTGTTGCAAAATAATATATCAAATATGTTACATATATATTAAAAAGTGTTGCCTAAAGATATATTTTTAGTGTTGCATTTTATTTCAAAAGTGTTGCGTTAGATGCTCGTTTAAGTGTTACAAAAAAAGTGTTGCATTTGGGACATTCATGCAACATTTTAAATTCATATTGCATAATAAGATAAAAGTGTTGCATATGACTTTATGCAACGAGACCTGAAGTAACGCCCGCAAAAGTGTTGCATTAGCCTTTTGTAACACTATAATGATCTAATGTAACATTTTATAGGCGTTGCCAAAGGCTTATTTTTGTTGTAGTCAGAGGCGTCTTGAGAACTTTGGAGGCCCCAAACAAAAAAAAATATCATATTCAAATCATAAAAAATCATATGAAAAAAGCATATTTAAATTGCACATATAACGTGAACGTCCAAAGGAAAAATTCTTGAAAGAGAATTTCACTAGTTATCTCAACTTATTCTTTCTTTTTGTACTAATATATAATACAAAAATCATAAACAATAAAATAACAAAAACCAAGAATCTATAAATAAAAATGACAAATCAAAGAAAATAAATAATTTAGTAATATCAATACGATCACATTAATTATTTCATGCCTATATCATACGACGTATAATCTAATCCATACAATAACAATTTGTTTTACCAGTATAGCAATATTAACCCAATAATTTTTAGATTATACTTATTTGTCATACATTCAACATATTAAATATTTAACTTTACACATTTACTCCTTTAGTAAACATTATTTCACTGTAATCGCATTAAAGCACTTGTAGTACTAAAAAAGTTAAAATCCTTATTATCTTATTTAGACATCTACACATTACACTTCGCTGCCTGCTGAATGCGTAGAAGATAATTTTTCTATTCTAGTTCCCCTTTATTAAGTAATTATACATAATACTAATAGTAATAGTTTTGATTTTGGAGGCCCCCTTGGCATGTGAGGCCCAAGGTTGTTGCCTAGCCTAACTCCCCCCAAAGCCTCATATGGTTGTAGTGAGTGGAAATGCATGATTGTGGTTGAGTAAGAATAAAATAAATGAATGTGAATCATACAAAACTTTTCAAAAAGAGAAATGAAAACTATTTTTTGGGACGGCCCAAAAAGTAAATCTGTAACTATTTTGCAGGACGTAAGAAGTAATATACACAAAAAACATGACACAGCAGATAACTTATGAAGCTAGAATCGAAACTGTGAACTCAAAATAAATCATATGCTTAGAAACCGAGCGTAATTCCATATATACTACTTATACGTAGTGATAATAATATAGAAAATGAAAAATCAATCTAAAACATTCGGTTAATTCGGTTGAAATTTATAAAGTTCTGACTAAAGTTGCTACATTGGTTGATTCTGCTCATTTAAGAAAAAATTGTTTTTAAAATATATTTTATTAGTGAAATAATTAAAAAATTATTGTAAAAATAGTTAAAATGGTCATGTACAGTAACTTCAGCCAATACAACCAGAAAAGTAACTTCAACCTTATTTTTTCTTATTATTACAGAATTTAGCGCGCGAAAACAAAAGTTACGTATTTGATGAAAAAGTTGGCTGATAAGTCTGATAAGCTGAGAAACAATGTTACCAAAAAAACTCTAAAAACTCAAAATACACGAGTAGAGGATGGGACAAATGACCAAGGAGAATTGATTTAAAATGGATGGCAATTGACTGACTCCATACCTTCCTTTGACATTTACGCCTAATTCCCACATGGTTCACCAAACCTATGTGTCCCTATTTCGAATGTTTTAGTCATCATTCTTTCATAGAGCTGTACATGTTAAAATAAAATAGGCCGTACATGCATGATAAGGCCAACATCCGTTCCATTTTCTGTTTTTTGGCAAAGATTCCTGATGTAGTATCCGTTTTATGTCATGGTCGACATCTTTAAATTGAGATGAGATTTGAATATATGATTTCTTTCTTGAGAGTGCGACAATGATGTCATCATACATGGCCGTCTAATGAATTTGGAGATCCGATTCTAAATGTAAAATTGAGGTCCCATATGAATATAAAAATTTTTGAAAAAAATATCAATCCAAATACTTATACACAAAACAATTGAATACTCATTAAAAAAGAATTAAAAGAATAAAAGGACCAACGAAAAAATGATTGATCCATATTTTTCTTTCTTACTAAATGTATTTTACTGATTAGTATTAATATAGAATATTACTTTATATTATAAAAGAAATTTAAGATTTCGGGGCCTAAAAAATCTGGGAGCCTGTTCTGGATAACCTATTGAACCCTCTAAAAACGCTTCTGTCATCGGATCACAAGTTACTTAGATATTTCTTTTAATGCAATAATCATATTATAAAAACTGGTGGTTATAATTCTGACAAACTACGTATGTACTAAGTATAAATCTATTACGGAGTAGAAGTTTCCTTTTACATTTACATTATTCTTCTTGGACGTTGAAAAAGTCTGATTTGAAGTATAAACAAATACAACTCCAAATGAGTTTGAGCACTTAAGGAGCCCGCTTGGTAATGTTGGGTGTGTCTCGGAAAAACGAAGAAATATTAATTAATAAAAATAATTAATTAATTGAAATAGCTAAAGAAAAACAGAAATAAGATGGAACAGAGTTTAGCCAGAGCTCGTGCTACGCACGATGTCTTTAAAACGTATTTGTCGCCTCCTACGGTGCTAGGAGCGTTGCAACGGCCGTTTCTCAGGATACGGTGGCTAACGAACTAACGTTTGAGCACACAAACGAGAGTTCCGCGAACAGGAACAAAAGAGAACACTCAGGAATTTTCGGAGTAGCTGGAACTATTTTTAGAGGTAAAAACTATGTGCAGATTGCTAGTGAACGTGTAAGAACGTGAGTTTGTTGCAAAGCATATGAAGAGCTGGGAGGTTATAAATAACTAACTGAACGGGCCAACAACTATAGGAAGAGCTGAGTGAACTGTGCGGATTTACTCCATCACTTGAAAGTGCCAACCGAAGATTCCTAGGATCTTCACTAAAATCTGGCCAGGTTTTATCTATGTGTTGTCAAGCTTGAGCATCGGCTGGATGACGCAATTTCCCATCTTTAATGCGATGGTTTGTGTGCCATGTCAAGTGCTCAGCGGTTTGGGGTGATTGGAACATACGCTTGAACCGAGGAATTGGAAGAAAATACCACAACACTTTTTCCGGAATTCTATTGGTAGCTGTTATGGCTCCATTTTTTTTTCTTTCCACCTAGATTCGCCACATGTGGGACAGCTTTCAAGGTCACTATGTTGCTTATGAAAAAGGATGCAGTCATTACGGCAAGCATGTATTTTTTGATAATCCAATCCTAAGACCTTCATTATTTTCTTAGCTTCATACATTGTCTTAGGAATATTGTTGTCAGCCGGTAATATGTTTGAAAGAGCTTCTAATAAAGCCGTGAATCCTTGATCAGACCACCCATGTTTCCCTTTAATATTGTACAACAACATTAACCCCGATAGCCTAGTATAATTTGACCCTTGGTACAATGGCTTTTCTGCATCTTCAACTACTTCCTTAAAACTTTTTGGATTACCCTCTAGTTGTTCATAAATATCACCTAACATCTCATCAACTTCATTTTGATCATGAAATGTTGACTGTGATGGAACAAAGTTAGGATGTTTTTCAGTCTCTCCATGCCTACTCCAAATAAGGTAAGTTTTCAAGAAACCTACTTTCAACAAATGCACTTTAATTTTTTCAGGAGTACTAAATTCCATGTTGCAACAATCTCTACACGGACACCTGAATGATCTACGATTTTCTGAGTTAACAATAGCAAATTGTATGAACTCATCAACTCCATTTACGTATGCTTCAGACAGTCGGTTACCTTCCGTTATCCATGATCTATCCATGTCTAGATTCCTGACAATTTTTATAACTCAACTACATTAAAAAGTCATGTTTCTTACAAATAAAGTCATGCTTCACCAAAATAAAGTCACGACTAACCAAAATAAAGTCACAACAAATAAGTTTTCTAGCCCAATTGCCCATACTAACTGATAAACATGCTGAAATATACTAATTGCTAAACATGCTAAAAATACTAACTGTAAAAAATTGAACTGACTAGTTGAAACATGCACGCTGAAACATACTGATTAACTGAAACATACTAACTGATAAACATGCTGAAACATGCTAACTGATAAACATGTTGAAACATACTAAATGTAAAAAAATTGAACTGACTAACTGAAACATACATGCTGAAACATACTGATTAACAAAAATAAGTTTATTTACTAACAACTGTAGAGTACAAGAAAGATGTTAGTTTACTTACTGAAACATACAAAATAAGCTGTAGAAGAAGAAGTTTACTGAAAAAATAGATGTAAGAGTTTACTACACATGTAGAGTAGAGCAAATCGTATATTTTTTCACATGTATTTTTATACATGTTTAAGTGTATAGACTGTAGAGCAAGAGTTCTATAGAGGCATAGAGTACAAGAAGGGTACTTTACACTTTACACATACACACACAACAAATCATACTGGTAGTACCAAATGTACCAATTCACCATATTGAAGCAACTCCATTAAAAAGTCACGTTTCTTACAAATAAAGTCATGCTTCACCAAAATAAAGTCACGACTAACCAAAATAAAGTCATGATTAAGTGATTAACAACAATAAAGTCATGACTCGTGATTCAATTAAAGTCTTAAACATTAAAACTAGAAAATAAAACATGTGAATACTCTGATAAACATGCTGAAACATGCTGAAATATACTAAGTGATAAACATGCTGAAACATACTAACTTCAATAACATGTGAATACCTTGGTATGACATGTGAATACTCTAGCCATCAATAACTCACACTTTAGTATTATTATAACTCCACAAGGCTGAGAGTATACTGCTCATGTCATGTTCAATAAGTATTAACAACTACAACAACAAGGATATAAAACAAATATGGATATCAAATGCCAAAAAAATCCATATGAAGAGAATTAGGGAAAACAAATAGGTGTTAAAAAAATTAAAAAATTAAAAAATTAATTCTGAGAAAAACGAACACTTATAAATTAAATAATTACTATCAGATGAATTTAATTAAAAAAATAGTGAAGTACAGTGAGAAGAATGACATACATAGGTGTTTGAACAAGGTCCCTAGCTGAAATTTGGAGAAGAAGGAGCGCAAACTCAGTAGAGTTCCAAACACAGGTCTGCTATGGAAGACAGAGTAAGGCGCCCGGTCGTAGTAAAGCTTCGGAGTGCGGAGACGGAGTTATGTGACGGACAAAGATGGAGTATTGCAAGGATATGGACGAAGAATCAAAACTCCACTATTGGCGACGGAGTTCGGTGATGGAGTATTGCAAGGATGGAGTCAATCGTATCATCTCTGCTATGGAAGAATAGAGAAGACGATCGATTAGGGTTTTTGCGTAAGAGAGTGTTTGCGTAAGAAAATGGTTTATTAGAAAGTGTTAAGTCCGTATTGAATAATAGTACGTTCCTGGCCCGTATTGAATAAAAAAAGTGTCACTATTCGGTTGTAAATTTTTTTGTTAGAAATCAGTGATACTTATGTGTCATTAATAGTATTTTATTAGAAAGTGTCACAATAAAAGTGTCACTGTGAGCCTGTTTTTTAGTAGTGGCACCTGTCAGCTATTTATAAGAGGATTTGTTGTGTGTTAAATGGGGTGTTAATGGACCTGAACGTTGGACATCAATGACCAGTCCGTTGGGCATTGAATCGTCCATAAATTGTCCATTTAACGCTGCATTAAAAGATAAGAACATTGGACATTTAATTGATGCAACGGCTTGGAGCTGTTCCGGTGCGCGACCAGAATACCCCCATCAGAGTTGGAGCAACTATGATGTTACCAGAATACCCCCATCAGAGTTGGAGCAACTCTGATGCGAAGCCAGCAGAGGACCCCCACCAGAGTTGGAGCATCTCTGGTATGAAGCCACCAGAGTTCGAGCAGTTCTGTCCGAGCACCTCTGGTCCTGGGAAAAATAAAACGTTACGGGAAGAAACAAAAATTAAACCGTATCGCAGGTCGACCACGCACACGAGTCGTGGTTTTTCTTCTCCGTTTCGGGATGAATTGGTTGATTCTGCTGAAATTTATGAAGTTTTGGCTGAAGTGGTTGTATTGACTGATTCTGCTGATTCATGAAAAAATTATATTTAAAATATTTTGTTATTAATAAATTAAATAAAAAATTATATGAAAATATAACTAAAATGATCCTCTACAGTAACTTCAGTCAAAACAGCCAGAAAAGTAACTCCGGCCTTACTTTTTGTGCTTATTACAAACTTCAGTGCGCGAAATAAAAAATTACATGTTTAGTAAAAAATTAGCTGATAAGCCCAAAAAAGGATCGCCAAACTGGGTCAACGTCTTCGACCGAAGACACATTGAATATGCAATGAAGCATTGAAACATGGGGAATACTATACTCCATCCCTATAAAAAGTACCCGGTTACTATTCCGTGGTCAATTTGTTGGATGTTGGAGTAGCTTTTAATCTTTATTTTATACGGAGTATATCTCACTTTTATTAAATTTACATCTATTTGTGACTTTATAAAAAATATGCTATTTGTGACTTTATAAAAAATATACGGAGTATATCTCACTTTTATTTACATTTTATTTGCTAAGCATTGATCGATTTACTTTATCACTAGTCAAACATTATAAATCGAAATGGGTACTTGTAAGGGAGGGGTGAGCATAGTTCGGGATGATCCATGATTAGGGTTATCACGGTACCAATTCAATTAGTAATAATGGTACAGGGAATGGCACGACAAGCCTTTGTCCTAGTATAGTCTTGTCGCCCCATTTAAATTAAGACCAGATGATTCGGAATAGTTCGGTACATCCCAAACTAATGAAAGAGTATTATACAAAAAAATTATCATTTGTAAATAAAACATATTAGCATATTTAAAGTATCATGTACTACACCAAAATATTAACATTTTAAAAGTTGACTGATGTTCATGATAACATGTAACTATTTACAAAAAAACTAAAAGCTATTAATATTTTATTCGGTTTAGCAAAAGAGAAATTAAAACTTAAAACAAAGCAAAAATGAATTAATTTATTCAAGATTATGTTTTCTAGTTGTGAGATACTCATATAGTCATATACAGAAACATAGAGTGAGATAGAAACCTAAATTAGTAAGTATATATGTTAGTACACCTAAATTGTATTGTTTGGTCAAAAATGATGTTTGTACACATTCTTATACACACTTTTGTACACACTTATGTCTATGAAAGTTTTTTTTGTCTGTGAACATCGATTCACAGACAATGTTTTGCACAAACAAAATATTGTCTGTGAACCAGATTCACATACAAAAAAAAGTTTCACAAACATGGTGTTTATAAGATGTGTACAAGGGTGTGTACATTATGCATGGTTGTTGTTCTGTTAAAAAGTGTATTGTATGTTTTAGACACTATTGTCTATAACTAGATAAAAATGGTTGAAACTAAAAAACTAGTTGAATGAAATAGACTTGCTTGACAAAATTACATAAAGATGTAAAATTGTTGTACAAATAAAGTTTTCATACAAGCAAGATAAAATTGAAGGATTGAACTGAAATACTGCAATTATTAATGTTTCAAATCAACCGATTAGTTTTAGATCCCACTAAATAAGCTCTTAATCCAAATAAGATTACATATATGTCATTTATTTGTGTAGATCAATCAAATTTCAACTCATTTAGAGTGGAAATCATTATCCAAACATAACCTTAGTGATACGGGGTGAATATGAAAAATATCTAAATTATTTCAGTTCATGACATAATCAATTCAGTCAAAAAAATTATCTCAATAAAAAGTGATTAATGAGATCCATAGGTAGAGAACTCTTTGTATTTTGGAGATTTCTATGGTACCTCTTCAAATTTGGAGTGTACCATACATTTGCCTTTCTCACCCAATAACATTCTAAGTCAATTCATTAATGACACTATTTCATGTCCCACTATTTTCATGTGTCACTATTTCATTTGCCCACACAAAGAGATGCACCATACCTTCCAAAGTTTCAAAGGCACCATAGCATGACCCTTGTATTTTACCTCTATACCATCTGGCCAATCACCCGCCGTCTACTTCCCTCTCCATCCCATTCGTTTTTTCCCCTCTAATTTATTTTCCCTTCTTAATTTTTGTATTCTTTTCTTTTCTTCCTATTTCCATTTGATCGGATATAAATCATTAAATCATACAATTATGAGAAATTATCCTAAACAGAACTTAAAACGTTTCTATATTTATTTTTCAAAATAAGATTAACATGTTTTTATTCTCAAAATAAGAGTAATGATGTTTTACTTGGACTATATCCCAGATAAAACCAGACCAGACCATACCAAACTTGGACAGTTATAAAATACAGAGAGACCAGATAGTTTATACAGATCAGACCAATCTTTGGAAAGACTTTTAT